TTTGAAGATGGATAACGAAATGGAGAATTTGTCTTTCCCACAGCTCCTAAATACATAGAATTTTCGGAACTACGGTGGGTTACTGTAGGCGAAAATTCACGAACCTGTTGATCTTTCGCCTACCTACAGTATTCGCGTTATCAATGTAGTAGTAAGAACCTCGTACTGTGTCCTAGTCGTTTGGATTTAAGAGCTCCACAGAGATTGTAGACCCATCAACTACAAGGCAACGTGCCAATTTCGGTGTTGTTACGGTAGTCATTGATTTCCGTCGACGGGCACTTCTCGGAAGATTACGATCGCTGTGACATTTGCGGCGACTACTTTCCTTTATGTGACCTTCACTACTTGACCGAAAAACTCGTCGCCCATTCCCGAAAAAGTCCCTGTTGGAAAGTTCTTGGGTCAGTATTGAACCCTGGAAAAAAGAACTTTTTGCTCATTGTCGATTAGTGAAAGGGCAATCACACGAATCACGTCGAACGACGGTGAATGAATCATGCACATGACCATGGCCGTAACCTCACGACCGATCACTCGACGACGACGTTTTTCCCAGTTCTGAATCATGCACCCATTTGCATACCCGTAGAATATCACAATAGCGAAATGAGTGAACGCTACGACGATGCATGAGAAGAACTCGCACGGTCTGCATGAACTTTACTCCAGTTATTGATCGGGTCCCAGATCGATATCTATTTTTTTTAGCATCGGATAGCCGAATCGTCCCCAGCAAGTTAGTCTGGGCCACTTGAGATGGTTCCCTATAGTGGCATGCGACAATTTTGGCTTCAATTTGGGATACGCCATGCTCGTTGGTTGCATTCACAATTGAGAGCTGTCTTGGCAGCTAGTTAGGCACTGCATTAGCGAGCAAGAGCCGGAGAAGGAGTGGTCCTTAGCTCCCCCTCTACCAAATCTTTCAGTCTCCCAGTTAGATCCTAGAAACAATTAGAGTAAGGAAAAGCTTTCTCCCCACGCCCTCCCTCCCACTATATCCCCTCCGATCCTTCCCTGTTTCAGTTCGCTCGCGCTATGGAAGCATCTCCGGTGCTCTCCTACTGTTTTTGGCTGGGCTAATTGTTTATTCAGGGATTACCACTATCCTCCCACCACCGTCTAGTTTCTAGTTGTCGAACCCTATTCTGCTCTTTTTTGGAATCCTATAGTGAACTCAAACAATAGATTGATAATACCCAATTTACATTCAAAATTCAAGCATCTTTTTCCATGGCCATATAGGGCTTGCAAAGCACTTTGTGTCAACGCTGAATGCTGTTAATGTAAGTCAACGGACCACGACTAAGTAGCGAAGTTTGGAGGGCATTAGGGCAAAGACAATGCCACCAACTACACCTTCCTTTCTAACCGTCTTGATCGGGAATGACGCCTTTTCGTAGCCTTTTCGTAAAGTCTCATGCCTCAGGAACGTGTCGTTGGAACTACCTTCCGAGTCTAGAAATTTCTGAGCCCTCTTCTGACACAACTGTCACTACCCGTATCAGGCCTGCTCCTGCCAATTCCAAAGAATTATTCCCAAAATGGACTTTGATCGAGCAACTTCATTTCTTTGAAGCCGTGTTTTTCAAGAGATTAACTAGTGCAGGGTCATCGAAGTTCTGCAGCTAGCCAATTCCGAACAGGCCGCTTTTTCCAAAGCTGCTGGCTGGGTTTTCAAAAGCTGGCCAGCTTTGAGAGCGAGTTCTATTGTTAAGAGGTAATGTGTGGTAGTGTCTTTCGATTACGTTCACGCTCAGTTGAACAAAGCGAATTCCGTCGCAATCAAGTCCCCTCTCCCTTCAACTAAGCTGGCTCGATCCACTAAAATTCAGCCAACCGTCTACTCTCAGAGGCACCTCCTCCACTCCCACCAACTACTTCAATTCAAGTCTGGCCAGCCATGCAGTCTGCAGTCCGATTCCCATTTTCAGACTTTCGACCGCTACCGTAATCCCCCCACGCGGCAATTTGTGTTTGCTTTTCGACGCTACGCGCTTTCGAAACGAAGTTTCGGCGCCGATTGGCTGACACTGTCGTTTCAAGGCCATTGCGGGTAAACTGCCCCTAAACTAAGGAAGTGGTTGTAGGGGGTTTTCAGTTAGATGAGAGATTAATTGGGGATGATGGAATGATTAGAATTGTGGGGAACATTCGTCGAAAGATCAATTGGACATGAATTTTCGTGATGGCCATGGTGAAAAGTAGGTTGCGTCATGCATTTGACATTTGTTTTAGAACCTGCAGCCATAGTTTTTCTTCGGGTACTTGGCCTTTTAGGTTAGCCGTGGCCGTGAGCCTAGATTCGGATTGAAGTTTTGCTGTAAATCCAACTGCTTTCGGTGCTTCACTTTATATGTTTCTTATGTGTCTCTCGACACTTGAAATTCTTCTTCCGACAGACTCCTTTTTTTGAATCTGGGTCCTTGTTTCTATCGATTTTTACCTCCACCTCTCTTTCTTGTCCTCTCTTTCTGACCACTTTTATCTGCCTTGGAGAGGGAAAAGTCGGTTTCTGCTCTTTTTTTTCTCAGTGAACCCAAAAAATGCTGTAAAGACTTTGTTGAGCCGATGTAAAATTATCTATATGGAATTTTTGCGATTTTCACAGCTACAAAATCATCTTCTGAGCTTTTTTCTATGCTACATACCATTAACAATTATAATTAACTCGATTTTTGTCACTAATCAGCCAAAAATCTTTTGAAAAAATCTGTCACATTAGTCCTGCACTAAACAGAGCCTGTTTCAGATCGTCCTGAATCCGAACAAGCATCGAACACCATTAAAGAGGTCAGTTCGATTTGTTTCATTTCAGATTAGGGTTGAGTGCTCAATGAGAATCTTCGAAAGTTGGCAGCGAGCCAATTTGGTAATCAACCCAATGAGACGTCATGTTATGCTTGCTGTATGTTTACCAAAAAGACTACGATGCCAGCAAAAAGTCGAGTGACCGAGGAGGTTTTGTGATCGAGAGTGGCGAAGGTCGTCGTCGTCGTC